TACTACATACCAAGCTGCTTCCAACCCTTCCTCTGGTTATTACATCACTTGGCTGCTCCAACCAGGAATCGAACTCCCTACACTTGGTTCCAGAGCCCCCAATGTGATTGTTCCGCCAATTTGGATGTGCCCTGGGGGGCAACCAACCATTCGTTCTTCTACTTGTTTAGGGAAGACCACGATGTACTGGTTACAAAGTGTTCTTTGTACATGAGCACCTCCTAACAAAGGCAATGGTCTCGATATGGATAAGTACTCTTGGGGTCAATCTTTGCAAGAGGTTAATGTTGTTGTTCCTGTACCTCCTGGAACAAAGTCAAGATTCCTTGTGTGTGAATATGAGAAGAATCATCTTAAAGTTGGGCTCAAAGGTTATCCCTCAGTAATTGACGTTAATGTATCGTGCTGTTTTATGGATCTTCGCGTGCTGTTCTCTTAGAACAAAAGGTAAAACTTATGCTTGTTTGCTTGCATGGCAAACTCTTCCAGTCTATTAAGGTCAACGATTGCTTCTGGACCTTAGGTAGGTAGGTCTTATTGTATACATACATGCATTATAAACACCCACACCGCACCCGCACCCACATGTATATTCTTGATTTGTCTATTTATTGATCACAAAACGTATGTGGATTCTTCTTTGGAAGGAAATGAATGTCTAACTATAGTCCAACTTCTTGTAGAGGATCAGAACTGTCTCTGTCCTCCATCTAAGCAGAGCCAGATGGACTGGTGGACGTATCTGGCGAAGGGTGAGCCAGAGATTGATACACAGAAAATAGAACCTGAAACCAGCTGGCTTTCAAATTTGGACACTGAAACACGTTCTACTGTGGAAAAGAAGATGGCAAGCACTAGTACGCTATAGCAGCATTTGCACCTATGTTTTTACTTTCATGACCACTTCATTTGTCTCATATTAATGTGATATCTATTTTGAAGATTGTTTCTCAATTGAGACTATATTTGTCCAGCCTTGAAATGGTGACTCAATTTTGGGCAACCTTTTTAAGTAGCTCAGTTTATCCTAAAATGTTATTTGCAGTTTGATCAACGACCAAAATCCCTGGGCCTTCCGACAAGTGATGAAATTCAGAAGCAAGAGATGCTACAGAAGTTAAAGGCTGAGGTGAACAATAAATGACTTACCTCGCACTTCTCCTCTCATTCTTTTGCATTACTGTGTTTTTCCAAGTTACGGTGATTTACTAAACTGATTTGAGTTTATGAATTTGTCCAGAATCCAGAGATGGACTTTTGAGGGGTGAAAAGTTTGCTAATGAGCTGGAGATGGCTTTTTTTTTTTGCATGTTATGTTACTTCTTGTTATGATACCTCCGTCGATAGAAGAAACTATTTGTAATCCTTTTGGGCTTCTCGATTGACTTTCAGAATGCTTTGTTTTTGTGAACTTTCCCTTCTGGTCCACCCGAGAGGCTTCTTTTTAATATCTTTGGTCTATGTGAATTTAATGGTATATTATAATTTTCCAGTTACTCAACTATCTTCGCTAAGGGCCTATTTGGAAGCGATTTTTATCCCTAAAAAATTGATTTTTTGACCGTTATTTCACTATTTCAACCGTCATATTTAACTTCTACTCTCACATGTGGACCCTACTTTTCTCCTAACGGTCAAAAAATCAATTCTCAAAATCACTCTCAAACAGGCTCTAAATATTGAGCATTGTTTTTGAAGTTTGCTTTACGATTAATAGAAGTATTAAAAGTAAGATTTAGAATAATTTGAATTCTTTTCGCGCTCGTGTAAAGATTAAGTAGTAATTTTACTTTTCATTTATTGGCATTTGGTTATGCTTAAAAGTTTGTTTTGTTGAAAGTAAGTTAAAACTTACCTTCTGAAAGAGTGTGTTTCATTAACAAAAAAGAAGTAATTTGGAAAGCATATGTAAAATAAGTCACTTAATCTGCTGGCTCGTATAATTAAGATGTCCATGTTGAGTGCAATCACACGACATGCATATCACTTTCTACAAAAAGGCTATGGACCCTGAAATTCTTATCTCTATTGTCTAGTTCCATTTAGATGGTGATATTTTTTTTCTTGTTCTGTTTTAGTGCATTTATTCTGTACCTGCAAACAAAATGCAGAGTAACAATTGAAATTATTTATTAATTTGGAATGAAAGAGGCTAGGAAAATGAGATCTTTGTTTTTAAAATTATTGTAGCCTAACTTTCAGGGGCTACTCTTTTCTTTTGGCGTTTTGTACGTTTGGTTTCAATTATTAATCTTCCCCCATACACCGTCTTTGTTAGGACATATGGTACTATATTTTCTCTATGGACTTAGTTATACAATGTGCAATTAATACAAGGAAGAGGTTATCTCAGAGTTCAGTGGTGCAAAGAGTAGGAGTGAGGTTATCTCACGCCTTGTTGACAGTCGGAGTGTGGGAATTCGATTCCTGATACATGGAATTGGACTCCTTGCAGGTACAGTATACAGACAACTCTTATTTTCTGGTCTACTGTGGCACATTCAGCTATTTACCTCCCTCACAAAACTCTAAGGTCGAGATGGTGAGGGCCCTCAAAATTGGGGTTCAACCTTCAATACAAAGAAGAGACAAAAATGCTGGGGTTTCACTATAATCGTGTGACACGTATGGGCAAAGGTTTACCTAATTGTAAAAAAAAATCAGTGATCAAACTTCACAAAATATATATTTACAAAGGATTGTTAGGAACGTAGAAATTCATAGAGAAAAACTGAATGAATGATGTACTACTAAGATGTCTTACGGACGATAATGTAGTACAGAGAATATTATTTACATATAAACGCAATTTAATTAACATATTACAATTTGTTTTTCACCCCAAAATTTCAGAACTATGAATGGTGGACACGTTATCTTGTGCATGGTCCTTGCAATTGCTGTCACATGCGAAGGGGGAAGTGTCTCCCCAGAAAGCTTCTATTTTCCAATTTTGCCACTAAAATGTGGAAAGATCACATTACCAGGTGGGGTCATTGCTAATAAAATAAAATACATTCCAATGTCAATAAAGCAATGAATCTTAGCCCCGTTTAGAGTACGTTGAAATCAGATTTTTAATAAATTTTGATAAAAATTGAGGAAATAAGTGGTTGATAAAGTCACATTTTTGAAATATCAGGCTCGAGGGACTAGCCAATTCAAAACACATTCGATGGCGAGTTGTAGCATGCATGTGAAGCCATTTTATTTGATCCTAAACAGTCCACCACGTTTTCATATTGCGATAACGGCTCGCGCACAAAGATATAATAAAACATTATCTGAGTATCAAACTCACAAATACAGATGTGTACATAGAACATGAATTGCTTTCTTTTAGGCTATTTTGATGGCTACGGAACATAGACTCTCGGTGACTACCTGAAAATTCAATAATTCCACATAAAATCAATTCACATGAAAACTCGATTAGTATTTAGTTCAGATCGATCGAGTACCCAGTCTGTCCTTAATTTTATGCTGCCTAATTATTTTTGCATTCTAATGGACGGTTTATGTGAATTAATAGGTCATTTTCTGATTCCCATTATGAAATGATTGATCTTCTGGGTTTATGTTCAAAAATTGCAAAAGACAAATACTATGACAAGATTTAAGGTCCCATGAATAAAAACAATTCTAAAGCCATTTTCTATTCTCCTCGAGAAACAACGAGTTCACTACGTTACATTCCACTCCAGCTAATATTAACAATTGATCAAAGATCCTCCAAAAAAATACCTAAGTGCGTGTTTGATTACATTTATTTTTTCTGGAAAATATCAGTTTTCGACCCAAATTCCTACTTGAGGTGTTTGATTGCTAATTTTTTCCATGAAAAACATTTTCCCACTTTTGAAAATATGTTTAATTTTCCTTGTTTTTAAAGAAAACATTTTCTTTGGATGGAGGTGGTTTTTATTTTCGACAAAAGAAGGAAAGCATTTTCTTTTCTAAGTGATATTTTTTATATCAATCAAACACACTCTAAATTGTTACAACTTAGAAAATCGACCACTCGAATGTATATATTAAGCCTGCCAGCGCTCGACTCGTCCCATGTCTTCATCAACTGTTTTTTTGCTGCAAATTGCATCATTTCTTTAATCAAATGTTGATTAGTAATATATAATTCACAACTTTGACTAACATGAGACAACGACCTTTAACAAAAATCAGTTGTTTTAATTCAAACAAAATATCTCGATTATATCATTGTTTACTTTCTCGTAACATGCGTTGAATTCAGTAAGCTTTCTTTATTGCACTTGATCAAAAAGATGGAAAAAAAAAAAAAAAGGATTTAAAAAACACAGACTAAAGAGAGCTATTCGCCTATTCCCTCTTCAATCAAATGTACAAAAACAATAATAAAAAGTAAGAGCTTAAATTTATTTGAGCACCATTTTTTTTAAATAGATTTTGTAATAGTGAATTTTTGAAGAATAAGTGGTTATAAAATAAAAAAATATTTTGAATTTAAGCATTAGACTATTTTATTGGTACATTGTATTTGTGGGGTTGAAAATGAATTTTGTATAATGTCTCTTTAACTTCTCGTCAAATTTAGACATGTAGGCCTAGAAGAAATTTTCGCCCATGTTTGATATTCATTTTTAATTAAAAATATCATGAAATTCATAATTTATCAACTTTTCGGATTCACCTTTCGTTAACATTTATTAAAATCTATTAAAATTTTAATTTTTTTTTAAGAACTACCTGAATTATTATTAATAATTAATTTATTGGTATAACTTGTCTCCCGTAGATGGGATTTCTTAGAACAAGCCAAAATCAGATTCCTTTTCAACTCTCTCTGTCCTCCTTCACACACACACAAACGCACGCTCACTTCTCTCTCTCTCTTCTTGAAATATGGCTGTTTGTTTTACTGCTCTGTAGCTGCTGCTGGTTCTCTGTTTTCTGCTCTGATTGACACATATATAAAAAGGACCTTTTCCATTAAAGCACTTCTCTTTCTAACTGTTACTAAAGTACAGAGTATGTGTGTCGGTCTTCAGTCATGAGAGAGAAACAAGAAAGAGAAGCAAAAATGTGTTCAGAAACTGGGCTAATGTTCGCGTATCTCCGTCAAGAAATTCAGCAGTTTGATGATTTCTGTTCCTTACAGAAACCAAATGCTTCATTGGTAGTATTCTTTTTTTATCAGCATATTGGGTTCTTTTTATTTATCTGATTTTGGTAATTTTGATGGAATTTTTTATTTCTAAGCTCAATTATAGTATGATCAATTTTTGGGTTTCATTTAAATTTAACAGAATTTTTCAAGATATTGCACTCTAGTTTAAATTCATTGGTCTATTTATTTATAACCTGAATTTCTTTTTTGTTGCTTGAACATTCTCTGGGCGAGTACTGTTTACATGATACAAGAATTCTCATTTAGCTGCTTTGTGGATTGACTTTAGTGAAGAAGAAAAAGGGCAACTGAATTCTTTCTTTGAAATATTCCATTTTTTCTATGGCTATTTATGGATAGTTCTTGAATTTTCTTTATGTTTTGGTATCTATTTATGGAAGAAAAAAATTGGGAAATCTATTATCGCGACCATTAATTCCGTGTTCTTTACTTCTTTTCTATTTCTTCTACTTCCATCTTTTTCCACATAAAAGACATATCCGCCACTTTCTACCTACTTATATTCTTGGTTGCAAGATATTATTTTGCTTTTGCTTTTGCTTTTATTTTTTTCTTTTATTTATTTATTTATTTTTTTTTTGTGTCAAGTTGTTTGAGCAAAACGGTATTGCGAAAATGGGTATATCATATGTGTAACTGACCTCAAATTTAACAGGAATTGTTTTGCTTGTTCATTCTGATGTCGCGTTCTTGAGGGTTCACTCTGCACTTACTGATATTAGGATGGAAAGGTGGGAGAAAAGCTAAAGCTTAGCCACCCACCCATTCATGGTGGTTATTCTAGAGATCTTTATGGGATTTCCAATTGGAAAAGCATATTTTCGTTAAAAGAAAAATCTTGATCTCTTGGGCTTTTTGTTTGCTCGATTGTTGAGTTCCTTGTCACTTCAAAGGATAGTAAAGGCAGCTTTTAGCATTAGCTTAGTAGTGGAACTTTAAACGAGTGGGAACTTTTCTGTGTAATTTTTTTTACACGTTTAAAAGTTTTAACCTTTGCACATGAATACATGATCACCGAGTAAGTCATACCATCGTGCGTGTTCATGTTTGCACCTTTCCCCATCCTTTATTGACACTGTCAACATTTTATCTTGGAGGAAAGTAGTTTACTCTTTTCTCTCAAATAACAATCTTTCTTGCATAACTGACATCTTTACTTTATGAGAAATAATGTGTAGGGATATAATATTTTTCATTTCCCTTCTTAATTACTTGTAGAAGAAAATGCATAAATCATTTTAAGACTGCAGAGTTTTTAATTTTGATCTTAATGGAGGGCATACAGGGCAACCTCATTCAGACATCTACTGTATCAGATTACAACCTTGGTGGAGAAGGGGATCTCTTCAAGGCTCCTGAACCAGTACTCGAAGAGCTGATGATGGACCTTGATCCAATGACAGCTGTTTTTTCAATGATTTCATGCGGAGAAGATGTCATCTCTCCACAAGCAATGTCGGTATCGGATATTGAATCGTCAATTGAGAATGGGCAACTCCTCAGTGAGGTTTTCTATGAATGCAACAAGGATCTTTTGGAAAAGGATGCAAAAGAAATGCCGCTCTCTGAAGTCCTGGATATCAAAGTTCCCACTTTAAAGACGGACGAAAAGCCAATTGCTGATGAAAAGTTGCTTTCTGAGAGTCATTTCCAGAAAAATGTTAATTCCAGTGGTCTAAAGACGATGGAACAAATGCATGGGGCTCTAACGTGGCCAAATTTTCTTGATTTTCCGGGTATGGACTTTGAGGCTATTTATGGGATGCGAAGAGCATTCAGTGAAGGAGACATAGAGGTCAAGTTTGATTACTCTATGCGTTCTTCTTACTATTGTCTGTTGACTCATTTTTCAACTTGCCCTGAGACTGCTAAATTTGAATAAATATGCATTTTCTTATAGATATATCACATATCATCTGGATAAGATCTTCTGATAATAATTATAAAAGGCTAAAAGCTAGAGAAAAGTTGTAGATTAGTGTTTTAATTACTTAACATAAATTGAGGAACAAATGATTTTTTTTAATCAAATGATTAGTTCTTCATAAACGTGTTCGTGAATGAGCCCCGTGCTATTAATGGTTCCATGACCTAGTCGATCTGAAAAATGTTTAGATGTTTCTGGCCTCTTTTAGACAGGGTAGGACGGAGTCACTGATAATGAGGTTTTATGGCAGACTCTTGGCAATGGTAATATAAGCCTCGCGAGGCAACCAAAAATTATTAGCAGTTGCATTTCTGAAGATCGCAAGGAAAAGCTCTCGAGATACAGGAGTAAGAAGTTGAAGAGGAATTTCGGCAGGAAAATCAAGGTGAGTTCTAATGCTTTTTCCACATAATATTTTTCACACTTTTTGCTACCATCTGACCTCAAACAAGATTTTACTTTTAACCACTGCAAACATGCTCCAATAGTAAGTAGTTTCCATCAAATTATATAGTTATGGACCTCATTAATGAGCTCATGCTTTCACCCGAAGTAGATTATAAATTTGGACTATGCTTATGGTGTTTTTTGATTCAGTATGCTTGCAGGAAGGCTCTGGCCGACAGCCAACCAAGAATCCGTGGAAGATTTGCGAAGACGGAATAAGTAGATGGTTGCAAGAAGAGACAACTCTTTGACAAGTAAGAAGAAATGTAGGAAGTAGTCAATAAACCGGATGATGTGAAGTAAGATATCGATGGACCTGTTGATATAAAGAAAGAAATCAACGGTAATACTTGCCGGTTTGTTGATGAAATGATTAGGCTCGGTGGTTGACTCGATAAGCTGGTACTTAATGCTTGGAAGCTAGATATCTCTTCTTAGTTGCTGTGATCTACTCAGTAGATGATGTTTTCAAATAGTGTATATATTGCTTGCTTTATAAAGATTAAGAGTAATTTTCATGTCGATTTTATGAATCCCGTCTAGAAACCCCTTTGAGCAATGCATGAGAAACAGGAAGAGAAGTGGTGATCAACAATTTTTAGATTGAGAGTTGGATGAATTTTTACTGAAGTTACACATTTTCATTCTTAACTATATCGATCCATCGAACATACTTTAATAACATGGCTGATGTACTTGATTGGACGGTACAGGACAAGATTAATGAAAAATTAAGTTAAGATTATTTGTTGTATAATTTCAATTACTTGTTGAGGTTTGATTGTACAGCAAAGAGTTGGCTGATACTCGTGTTTGCAGCAAAATCTATCCTTGGAAGCCAAATTAGCCAATATTAATGTTATTATTAAGAGAAAATATGACATTTCCTAGCAAAAACGAGTTGACTCATAACTTTATACCAACATATTAGGTACAAGTTCCCATTTTCCATCTAGTGAATGTCGTGTGTACTATGAATGACTTAACAAGTTGTACGAGATTTAGTCAAGTGCATTGTAGGACTAGAAGTTCACGAGATTAATCATTGCAAACAAGAAGCTTAACAAACTACAATCAGCTCTGTCTCTCTCTCTCGATCTCCGACATAGTATTCATATGTCGTGGTTGTGTATAAATTGAATGTCAAACACTCTCTCAATGAGTAAATAGTATAATTTCTAGTTGCTATTTGTAAACACATAAAGACAAATTTGCCCCCCCTCCCCACCCCACCCCACCCCTATGGCAATAACATGTGGGGTATTGAAAAGCTGCACTTCCAATACCTTCTCTCCTCAACCAACGGAATACGAGGTCTAACAATGTAAATTCAAGTCACCCCTTTCTGCTTTTCATTTGCCATATCCCGATACCGGGTAAAGAAAACAGTTACAAACAAAAGTTAAAACCATTTTAAGGTATAGAATTTCTTAAAACTTAAGGTTTCTATGCAATTCGCTCACAACCTTAGACATCTACCGCAAACTATGATATTTGGTCACTCCATTTTGGGTCTTTCAGATATGTCCTACTACCCTATAAGAACAACCAGTCAGTGCCGCCACCGGCCAAGGTGGAGCCGCTTTCACCTACCCCGCCTCCACCATCCACAAAGCAAGAAGCTTCCCTGCCTCTCCTATTACCGGTCCCCCAGCCGCAGCCACCCACCATTGACAACCCTGCAGCCATCCCGGAAGCCAGTTTGAACAACTAAACCATCATTTACCACCCCTACAGTGCCATTTTTTTCTCGCCTCCCGACGGGGGAAAGTCAGTCGAATGGCCGAATTGATCCGTAATCAATGTCTCAAAAGGTACATGCTACATACAACTTTTATTTTTTGTAATCTAAAATACATAATCTCTTCATGTATTAATCCAATTCTGCCTACACCTCTAAAATCCCAACTCAAATCTAAACATTCAGCATAACATCCAAAGCAATTTCCGTTGTACAAATCACTTTTGGTCCCCATTTCTTGACCAATTCGAGTTATTATTATTATTATTATTTTTTTTGCAAAACATTTGATTCGATTTTCTTTTATTCACTCTCTGTTGATTTGTTGCGATTCTTATTAAATTTCATAAAATTCTATTAATCCAATTCTGCCTACACCTCTAAAATCCCAACTCAAATCTAAACATTCAGCATAACATCCAAAGCAATTTCCGTTGTACAAATCACTTTTGGTCCCCATTTCTTGACCAATTCGAGTTATTATTATTATTATTTTTTTTTTTGCAAAACATTTGATTCGATTTTCTTTTATTCACTCTCTGTTGATTTGTTGCGATTCTTATTAAATTTCATAAAATTACATGAAATGGCAGAGAAAAACTAAAGAAAATTTATTTATTCATAACAATTTTTCCTCCCAAGTTTCATGGAGCCCACTTTTCTCCAGCCAACCTCTGCAAAAACAAAATAAAAATAAAAATATTGAACGACCTCTAAAAACCAGAATGCTTTGCTTCGAATGCCATGTCTGTAAATTGCCACCATGCCTACATTGGGTGCTCAACACGTTTGGTGCAATTTAGCATTAAGCGTGTAAAATTTTCTATCGTATTCCATCCTCTTCTCGACTCATTTACCTTTCTATCGCTGCCTATACATACACATCCGCTGTTTCTATACATCAATCTTTCCGAAAGAAAACTAAATTCCGCACCAAAATTGGACTCCCATTTTTACTTAAATTTTTATTATATTCACATGCAAGGTATCACACTTCCGCATAGGCTGCAATATATATACATACACATATACATATTACATATTATATATAATTGTGTGTGTCTATCTCTCTCATCGAGTCACAGAGCTTTTAGAGAGAGAAAGAGAGCTCTTGAAACAGAGATCCCTATTCCCATACCCTTTTCTGAATATCGAAATTGGCTTTTTTCCCCCTCTCTTTTAAACAATTTTTGTTATTCTCCAGCGTTAAAAATCAATTCTTGATTTTGGGGCCGAATTTTTCTCTGATTTGCATGTGGATTGGTTTTTGTTCTTTTAAATTTATTTTTGCCTGCGGTGTTAGGAGATTATTGAATTGAGAAATTAGGGTTTCGCAGGGAGTGAAATTGGGTGTTTGAGAGGAGGATGATCATTAAGAAAAACTTGAAATCTGTAATGCCTAGTTTGAAACGTTGCCGAGTCGGCGACTCGGGGGGTGAGGATGATGAATCATCATCGGGGAATCGAAAGAAACGGAAATCTGCCAACGGGTATTACCCATTACACCTTCTTGGGGAGGCTGCCTCCGGCATAATTCCGTTCAATAGCTATGGAATTCAGCGAATCGTCTCTTCCTCCCCCGCCACTGCGGCGGCGTCATTATGTACGGAGACTTCTTGTTACCCCAACAGCCGAGAGCCGAAACAGAAAGAGCCTGCACGGCCGCCACTGGTGAGAACTTCCAGGGGACGGGTTCAAGCGCTTCCTTCTCGATTCAATGATTCAATCCTTGATGATTGGAAGAAAGAAAAGAGTAAAAGTACAGTAAAAGACTCGATTTCCGGCCAGGAATCGACGCCAATTAAAGAAAAGGATAAATTCAACTTCAAAACCCCAAGAATGTCGGGTGGTGTTGCAACTAATAAGAAGCGAAATGAGGACAAGATTCGGTACCAATGTCGGAGATTCTCTCCATTGTCAGAGAATGAGATAGAGGAATTGAGGTCCGATGGGTTGAAAAGTCTTGACTTTAGGACGAATTCTAGTTCGCTGAGCTCGGTGACAACATTATACGACCAGTTTGTGGATGATGAGGAGTTGGAGGAGGGTTTAGATTTAAGTGGCATTGCTAAATTATACCGTCCCGAGGATTTTTCCGATGGTGATATAGTTTGGGCTATAACTGGGAAGCAATGCCCTGCTTGGCCCGCCATTGTGCTTAATCAGAAGCAAGTTCCCCATCAAGTTTTAAATTTTCGGGTTGCTGGTGCAGTTTGTGTAATGTTTTTTGGTTACTCTGGGAATGGAACACAAAGGGTAATACATACTATTTTCTATCACAAGTTTCTTTGCCCAATGTAATGCATTTAACTGAGGTTTATGTTGGCCTTAAATAAGTTTTTGTTCCTGTTATGAACAGGATTATGCTTGGATTAAGCGTGGCATGATATTTCCATTTATAGACTATGTAGACAGGTGCTTATTGAAGTTTGTTTGTTATTTTTCTTGTTTTGGTTCTTTTATTAAATTTGATGGGTTAGTGAAGTTGGGATCACGTTGAAACTTGATTGGTATAGGTTTCAGGGGCAGACTGAATTGAATGATAGCAAGCCTAGTGATCTCCGTTCTGCCATTGAGGAGGCATTTTTGGCTGAAAGTGGCTTCAATGAGATGTTGATGGTCGAAATTAATGCAGCAGCTGGCAACTTGGTTTACTTCCATTCTTTTACAAGAGGAGTTGTTGAGGTTTCTGATTCCAATCAGGATCAAAGTTGCAACTCTCCAAAACAGGTCATTAATGGGTTTATTTATTTCTCTTGTTGGAACATGGATTTGTAACAGGGTTTACCAGTAACTTCTATATTGTTTTCTGATGCTTCTTGGTGAAAGTTTTGAACAAAATGATGCTATGATTTGCTTATGAAACATGAATTACAGTTTCCTACCCCTATCGAAAACTTATCATTTTCAACTTTCCTTTACATCAAATTTTGTATAATCAAATAGAAGGATAACTTTCTTGGCATTGGAAATGATTAAATTTATTTCCTTGTGCAGGAAGCATTTAGAAAGACAGGGACACAATCATGTGAAGCCTGCGGCTTGAGCATGCCTTCTAATGTGTCTAGGATACTGAATGATCGAGCTGCAGGAACCAATCGTTTGTGTACTTCTTGTGCAAGGGTTTGTTACTTGATTTGCCTAGAACTTTTTTTCCATGTTGGAAACCTTTGTGTACTAATGATTGCTTGTTATCTGTTTCAGTTGAAAAAAATGAAACATTATTGTGGCATATGCAAAGAGATTAAGAACCAATCTGATAGCAGAACTTGGGTGGGATAATCTTTTCTTCTTTCCTTCTTTTTGATTTCTCCAGTATATATGTCTCTTACACTTGCGACATTTTTGTTATAATAAGTTTCATTGAATTAGGTGCGCTGTAATGGATGTAAAGTTTGGGTCCATGCAGAGTGTGACAAATTCTCAAGAAATGATTTTGAGGTCTTCTCATGCCCCATTTCCATTTCCCCCCCTCATCATATGTATGCCTACATATAAATCTATGTAGAGTATATAAATTAAATTTGTTTGGTCATAAAATGTTTCCTCTGTGCTAGGATCTGGGAACCAGTGATTATTATTGCCCTGAATGCAAAGCAAGGTTCAATTTTGAATTATCTGATTCAGATGACAAACAGACTAAAGCTAAGTAAGTAGTTTATTCATTTAGCTTGAAAACGTTTATTCGTTATTCACCAGAAAATTGATGTGTTACTTCCAAAATATCTAATAAGAGTGCAATTTCTTGATGCAGAGAAAACAAAAAGAATGGTAATTTTGTACTGCCTAACAAGGTTGCTGTTGTGTGCTCTGGCATTGATGGAATTTATTTTCCCAGTCTTCATCTGTAAGCATTAACACCCAAGGCTTCTGGCTATATTTACAAGTATTCACGGG